ATTTACACTCAAAACCGTGAGTGCAACCATAAACGGCGCGTGTTCATATTAGCACCTGCACCCCCAGTACAGCGCGACCTAATGTGACACGGTGTCACTACAGCTCGTCTCATCTCTTGCACGCCCCATTTTGGCGCGACCAATTACGTTAACGTCCGAACATAAGCCAGCTCATTACACACGTGACCCATAATGTGCAGGCTCATGTTAGCAAGAGTGCATAACCGGTTTTAGCCGGATTTAATTTCATTCGCTTTCCTTTCAGATAATCCGATAACTTAATAAGATCGCCGTTCAATTTGTCCACGACTTCTTCAGTAGTGTCACCAGCTGCATACATGTTAACGTCGTCAGCGAACTGAAGTACAGATGAGGCACTCACACATCCAGGAAGGCCTCTTACGTAAATGCTGAATAGCACTGGGCCCAACACAGACCCCTGCGGCACTCCTTGGCTGCACGATGCACGAATATTTTTTTCTCTTTACCAGGCGTGGGCCATCCCCTGGACTATCAAAATGGGTGCCTTATTTTTTCTTTTTCTGTTTTAATGACAATCCATTGCAGATTACCATTTTCGGAAAACCAAAAAACTTAACATTGAACTGTTTTTGAGACGATCATTGCTTGTTTTGAGTTGATCATTGCCTTCTAGAGTTGACTACAACCTATTTGTATCTGGACCTGTTAACGTCCATCCAGGCAATATCGCCATTAATACTGAACTGGTGTTTTTGAGTCGATAATTGCTTTTTTTTTAGTTCATCATTGCTTTCTAGAGTTGATTATAAATTGAGTCCAGGCAATATCGCCCTTCAATACTGAACTGGCCATTTCGAGTTGATCATGATTTGAGTCTTTGACAAGTCGAGTGTCCATCTTTTGGGTTTGAGTGTAAATGAGTCGACCTGTATTGAGCGTGCGCGCTGACGGGGTGGTCTGTTTTGGGGATGTCCAGTTATGGGGATGGGGCTTTTGGGGCCGGGGGCGCTGAAGTCAACGGCGCTGTTTTGGGTCGCGTTCATGTGGGGGCATACCTAGAAGTCATGGCAATACAGTATGCTCAAACTCGTCTTCTTCAAAGTTCTTTCTCACACTGACACAGTACACGTAGCAGAAGATGCGAGTGAATCAGCCTTCATCAGGTATCCCGTAGCGGGATAGTGGCGGGTAGTCCGCAAAACTCCGTGTACATGTACATGCACATTACATTTGTACATTATCGTGCATGTTACGAAGTCATGACCTCTGGTAGTCTGGATTTTAGCAGCCTTGATATAACTGCAGGCTATGGATATTGCTCGAAATTGATGTATAGTTGATGTTCGGTCATGATGGAAGGAGAAGTGGAGCTACGGGAGAGATGAGCTGATTATTCGCAGGGTGAGGGTGACATCGGTTGGACGAGTATGATGATTATGAAGACCGTGAGTTGAACATCATAATTTTCAAAGGTAACTCAAACTAATTTGGCAATAAAAAGTACAAAAGAAATCAAGTGATGAATAGAAGAAGTAATGTTTTCTCTTTTCCATGTTGATCTCTAACATGCATCATTGCATGAACACCTTGCAGCTTGGTATGGGGACACTCATGTATTTTGTTGTACTTATGGCCACTTGCAACTTCCAAGTACGAAAAGGCACAATTTTCCGAACTTTGAGGCTCCATATTAAAGTACAACAAAGTGAATATATATCCCCGGGTGCCAAAGCATAATATGAGGATTTTACGAGCATAATGCGAGAATCCATGAAAGCATAATTCCTTGATTTCGCGAGCATAATCCGCCTAGCAAGGACTCACTGGTGGTCTGATTGACTCACGGTTTTGCACAACAGTTGGTCTCCTGTCTGTCCAGCAACATCCTATCCCGGCAAGACGATGTACACTGTACCTGACTGTACATGTGTGGAGTCATCCATGATCCAATGCATGATTCTCACCTCCTCAGCGGCTCAGGCTGGATGGGGCAGCACTCCATTGCACCTGGGCTGTGCACGGGTCATGTTCCACAGTCATGACTCATGTAGTAAGTCCATCAGGACATGCATGATGTCCATGCACTGGCCTTGATATCCCGTTCTTACTAAACGACGTATGTCTAGTAGTAATTGCTTATGACTAGATCCTATGGAACACATCATCAATGATCATTATGGTACTAGTGACATCATAATGGTAACTCTTACACATCATAGTGCCGCAGGAGTCCTCAACATGGAGGCATAACCAGCGGATTGTATTTCATGCTGATCTACAACTTCTGAGCCGATTCTTCTGCAAGACTTATCACCGAAGTAACTTAGTTTGGCGATAAGTTAGTTATCACCACTGAGTGCATACCGGCGTTCCAGCATGCTACTAGCATCGGTGCCGGTATTATGAATTCAATCCTTGTGCTACTATAATAGGCCGAAGTCGCACCAACCTCTTCTTCACATTGTGCTACTACATTGTCATACAAGTGCCCAGTATTATGCCCAGTATTATGCCCAGTACATGTATTATGCCGACATACAGTGACTTTCCGTATGTTACTTTTGACACAATCATTTCAACAGACTAAGTTACTTCAAAAGATCGTCAGCTTTGATGTGAAGGCCTAGTGATCTCCACGATCATATCCGGCTCCGGTACTGTTCGCCTCTGGACAACCTGCCAGCATCCTGTCCCTGTGGCTCAGGGTTCTCAGTTGACCATGCCCAAATTTGCAAGCTGTCGGGATTCATCAACATACGACACAATGATCCCACCGACTTCCTCGCGTCGTGCATGAAGGAGCTCCATCATGATGTGGAGGTGGAGCCACCATTGCAGCCCCTAACTGGTGAAACCTTTCACCATCGGTCAGCCAACTCTGATCCTGATGCCCGTGCCGACCTGTGGGTGAATGAAGGGATTCTGGACCGATAGCCGCAACGCATTCTTTGATACAAGGGTGTTTTATCCCCACGCGTCAAGCTATCGGTCCAGGTCTCTCCCCTCCCTCTACCGAAGGTTCGAAGGAGAGAAGAAGCCTGCTTACGGTGCATGAACGTGTCAATGAGGTTGAGCATGGCTCCTTCACACCGTTAGTCTTCTCCTCCTGTGGTAGGATGGGCTCTGAAGCAGCCGTAGTAGTAGGGAAGGTTGCGTAGCAGGGCAGATGGGAGACGATTCCAGTCTTGGATCGTGGCACGGGGGAATGATCGGAGAGCACTATTACGGGCTCCGGCGGGCAGTGTCGGTGCTAGTTGGTGCAGCTGCTGGTGCTGCTCCTCTTGCTGGTGGCGAGTGGAGCGCCGGTGCTGGTTAGCAACTGTCCTCGGTGGTGTCATGGTGGTCAGGATTGGGGGACCGTCAATCCAATGCAGCTTGTACAGGCATGTGAGTGCCTCAATTTGACGCCGAACTGTGAGGCTTGGAAGATATGACCTTGAGCTGGGCCGATGAGCTTTAGGCTAAATTAGGGCTCGGTGCTGTACCTGGTCCAGCTGGTTCAGGGTAGACTGGGACGCACCCATGAAAGCGAGCAATACTCGAGTACTCAGTACTGGGCGGACGAAGCCGCGATACACGGCATACTTGGCCTTGTTGAGGGCCTTCCTCATGAAGCCAAGACGTTCGTTATAGCCGCTATCTGCACTCTGATACATTAACATGACTGTACAGTGATAGGGAATCGTATTTTACGACTCCCTGCCCCTGGTCATGCGGATGCGAAGGCTAGTTTGTGTGTTTCTGAACATTCAATTCAAGCGATGCCGACACGGTACGGATCCCGCGAATACTGTATTACAAGTAATAATTATGGTCATACGGAGCTAGGCCATGGCTAGGGCCAAGTAGGGGTTACGTCTTAGTACTCGTAGATCTACTACGTAGATCTACGAAGAGTACATAACCCCCCATGGGGTTAAAAATTATGACTGTACTCTTGATCTTGGTACTGTACATGACATACGACGCTCTACGCTACCGGATCTTGTGTTCTTGTCTATCTTGACGTCATTTATAAAGACGTAGCAAAATTATTGCTAAAAGTACGTACGTGGCGCCACACGCGCCACGTGGTGCAAAATGATCAATAAAAAAAATTAATAATAATATGAGTCAGTCACCATGATTGTAATCAGGGAGTAGTAAAATACAGGGAGGTGACACGAGCATGTACGGCCAGTTTGACGATTGCCTCAGCACCGTTTTCACCCGGCGGGTGAGATTGGGGTACTATGGGTACCGAAGTGTGTAGACACGCGCGCGGATCAGGATTCTCTCGATCAGGGAGTAGTAAAATACCTACCACCAAAGAGACTCCTACTGCAGCCCGTAGAAACTCAGCGCTGAGAATTTCCAACAATTGTCTGCCTTCACAAAGTTTGGTAGTCGACCAAACTACCACTATGTCAGGATAGAAGTCCAGCAAGAGTGGTATCACTTTGGGAGATATCCCTGCGTGCCGTAGATTTTTCCTGTGTCGATACAAGCTGTTTACGACGACGTAGCCCGCATTTCAATCCTTGACAAACTTAGGAACATTTCATTCCGAAAAGTGAACTCCCGAATCTCTAGCATACCATAATATGAAATGCTCATCATCACAAAGAAGGTAGAGAAGTACTGGTTGATCACAACTGAGGAGAAATTAGTGCCGATCGTGTGGTGTCCTAGAGATTTTTTCGACTTCGAAATCGGTGCACTCGCTTTTCATCTCCAATCGTACACGTATTGTTCTCAAGGAAATCACCTTCGTTCTATTGCTCCATGCCGTCGATCGGGACGAATTTCGGAAGGGTGGTACCTTTACATATGACGATGACACAGATGTATCACAAGAGCAAAACAAATGCTGTTCCATGAGATGGATAGACCTTTTCACGGAATTAGTTCTTCGACAAATACTCAGGATTGATTCAGCAGATCATCTTTTTTTGCGAAAGAAAAAAAAACAAGCGCGAGGCAACCATCAAAAATCACGATTAGTGGCGTGTCACCTCCCTGTATTTTACTACTCCCTGATTGTAATGGTCACGAATACTATGTAGCAGGAGCTAGAGGGAATGGCCTTTTTTGATTTTTGAGAACGTGTACAAGTCATGTAATTGTAATTGTGCATGTTCCTGGTTGACACACTCAAGCTGCAGCGCTACGCCTGTGTTATGAAACTCATGACGCAGTTTCAACTTCCAATTTGAGCATATTGCAGTAGATTTGCCATGCCTAAATTACCCCGTGCAGCGGTAAATGGACTGGATGTAGAATGCCATGAGGAGGATTGTCGGACCGAGCAGCACTTCATCGTGAAGGAAATCTTCGCAGAGAAAGTCTATATCCAGCCGAACAATCACACTGATGGTGACAGCAGCGGCGACTATGGCGAGTGGATGGGGAACCTGGATGGTGACACCAGTC